CACAATGGAATTCTATGCAGCAGAGAGAAAGAAGGAGCTACTACTCTTTGCAAAAACATGGATGGAACTGGAAAGCATTATGCTGAGTGAAATAGGCCAGGTGTTGAAAGACAAATACCATATGATATCATCTTTAAAAGGAAGCTAAACACCAAAACAAACAAGCAAGCAGAATAAAAACAAAGACAATAAAATAGAGAAAAAGGGGACAGTGATCAGACGGGAAAGGGAAGGGAATTTAAGGGGAAAAAAGGGAGGGACTTGGAGGAGGAACTAGGAAGGACACAAGGAAGAGAACTAAGGGGGGTGGAAATGGGAGGAAGGTGGGAACACAAGGCAGGGGGGGCTGGGCTGGGAGAAATAGACAAAAAACTGTACTTGTAATATAACTACATAAAATTAAAAATATGTTAAAAACATGCAAATTTATACAACAATCAAATGCAGAAAAACACAAAAATGTACCCCTACCTCGGTTATAAGAGACCTAAATATTTTTGAAAGCTAAGGCTTCATTAAGCACCAAAACACTAAAGGAAAGCTTCTTATTGTTAAGACAAAAGTATGTTTTGTCATTTTCTGTTCTTGGAATACATTACAATTCTCTCCAGTGGAACCAAAACCTTTGGAACCCCATTTGTTGGTGTCCAAACATTGAACTTCCTTTTTTCTGGATAAATGTGTTCAAAAATGAGCAATGCAATGTGGTCACCCTTTTTAACCTCAAACTTTCCTTTGCCAAAGTTGAACATTTCAATACCAATATATCCTCTATAATCTTCTATTACACCACCTGCTACATATGAAAAGTGGTTTTCAGCCAAAACAGAACACTGAGCTAATCTTTTATAGCACCCAGGAGCAAGAGTGGTCCCAACATTGGTTTTCACAAGGGCTTTCACAGTAGGCGGCACTTGTAATGATTGGCACTGTAGAGGACAAAGCCAGCCCCCTGCACAGATCCCTTGGTTGCAGTGCTGGTGTGCTCCCAGAGCAAGAGGAAGAGTAGCCCTGTGCTGCCCTCTTATGCAGGACACTACTGCTTCCTGGAGGAGATGGTGTGTACCTCTTCAGGCCATGGCATGGCAGAGAAGAATGCAGGCACATGTTGCCACAGAGGTACATGAAGGCGTGAATCAAATCTTTAAAAATTATATTCAACCTAGAACAGCTTTCTTTTTTTAAAGATTTTATTTATTTATTATTAGACAGTGAAGAGAGGAGATTGAGAAACATCAATGTGAGGTGGTCTCACATGCGCTCCCTATCGGGAACCTAGCTCATAACCTAGGCACTTGCCCCAACTGGGAATTCAGCCATGGACACATATAAAATGAAGACTATTTCCATAACTCTAAGGACCAAACAGCCATTGACCATTGAACAAGCACAGAAAGAAACAAGATACATCATGAACAGTGTAAGTAAAAAAAAAACAGAGAAATAAACACTTAAATTTAATGGCAATTGCCATATGGCTGATTATATTTGAATCAAGACCAAAAATGTTTTAAGGACTGATCTTAAAATGACCATTTATTTCCTAATATGTACATAAATACTAAAAAGTCAATAAACAACGTTTGGAGAATTTATCATATAAAATCAATCACACTGAAAGACCACCAGTACAATGCTTGAGTGAGACTGACAGATACTGAAGTCCAAGTCTTTCTCTTAAAGGGCCTGACAAAGATTTACAGGGACTCACTAATTCATACCTTGAGCCTTGGGAAAGCAGATTGAAAGGTGTTCAGGACATTCAGGAAGGAACTCACCTCTGTGGTTTCAGGGCCAATGATGGAGGGGGGGCATTCTCCCTCACAAAAGTCATCCAAGGCCATCTTTTTCTGCAATGCCCTCCTCTCAATAGAGCTACAGGGTGCTATATCTGAGTTCCCACATTCCTGCCTAATGCTATGGCCCTGTTTTAGTGATTCCCCGAGGCCTTGCCCCACTCCATTTCAGAATTCACCCAAGGCATATGCAGAGGCTATTCCATAGAAATGGCCCCTCTTGCTTCATGGTGCAGACTCTTCTAAATCTCCCCAAGAGGCTGGATATGCCCTCTGCATGCTCTATGCTTCTCATTTTGTTACCTATGCAATGGAAAAGTGCGTGTTTTTTTCCACAATCTTATTGTTTTTCAAGTACAGTTGTCTCCATATTCCATGATCACTCCCCCAACACAGCCATCCCTACTTTCCCACATTGATTCTACCCTCCTTGAGATTTTTCCATGCGTCCATTGTGCATGTTCCTGAAGATCGCTGCCCTCTTTCACCCCATTATTCCCTCCTGACGCCCCTTTGGTTACTATCAGTTTGTTCTTTCTTTCCATGCTTCTGGTTATATTTTGCTTGCTTGTTTGTTTTGTTGATTGGCTTGCTCTTATAGGTGAGATCATATTGTATTTGCCTTTCACCACCTGGCCTCTTTCATAACCATAATTATTTCCAGATTCATCCATGCTGTTTCAAGATTTAGGAGATCCTTCTACCCTAAGAACCCTGACAAATCCATTCTAATGAACATATGCACCCCAATGTTCATAGCAGCACAATTTACAATGGCCACAGGCTGGAAGCAACCTAAGTGTCCATCAAGAAATGAAGGGATCAAGAAACTATGGGACAGTTGCACAAGCATAAGGACAATTTAAAGTGTAACATGAAAGAAGATAATCTCATGTTTGGGAAGTGCATTGTGCTACAAGAAAATCACCAAGTCTAAACCTTGTATAAACTTGTTTACAACCCCCAGAGGGTTAAAAATTATAAGAAAACATAACAAATGTACCCAGGGTTCCTGTGATTTCTGTTACAAATTTAGGACCTCGAATGCTTTTTTCATGAACTCCATTTTTGCCACAAAAAAAGGAGAAAAAGAGAAAAAGGCTTAATTTAAGGTACAATTTCTCAGCAACAGGCACAGATTTTTCAAGTCCCCAAAGCAATAGAAGCCAGACCACAGTGGCCCTCACAGTCCAAATATAACTTAATTGTGTACACTGCACACTTTAAAAAAATGTATGTCTTCCTTTTTAGAGAAGGAGTGCTTTGGTCAAAACTGGTAGTAGGATAACAGAATTCTCTGGAGTGAAAACTATTCTGAAAGCATATAGGAGCATGGGATATTGTTGGAGATTTTCTGTCTCTTTGTGACAACAGCAGATGTAAGACTGAGCTTTTCAAAATCCTTTCCACTGAAGCATAGCTTCCCAAACCACACTTGAAGGTCTGGCTTCTTCTGCAATCTTCGTGTTACTCATTTATGATATCTGTATCTGCATTCTCACCTACCTGGGAAAGCAGATATTGACTTTCTTCTGCAAACATCCCAGCGCTCCTTCATTTGCTCCAAAAACGTCACCAGAACTGGCTTAGAAACAACAAGACCTGTGTACAAAATAAATATTATTATTTTTTAAGATTCCCCATTCCCAAACCTCATTGTGCTCAGGTAAAAACGCTGCAGGAAAATAAGGATATTCTAGACAATCAACCTTACATGACTCCACTCTAAGAATACAAGCAACCCAACTAAAAAGTGGGCAAAGGACATGAAAAGACACTTCCCCAAGGAACACATACAGAAGATCCAGAGACACATGAAAAGATGCTCAATATTGCTAGCTATCAGAGAGATGCAAATTAAAACCACAATGAGATACCATTTTGCAAAATTTAAAATGGCCATCATAAAACTAACAATAAACAACAAATGTTGGAGAGGTTGTGGAGACGAGGGGACCCTAATCCATTGTTGGTTGGATTGCAGACTGGTACAACCACTATGGAAAACACTGTGGAATTTCCTCAGAAAACTAAAACTAAATCTGCCTTCTGACCCAGGAATTCCCCTGCTAAGATTATATTCTAAGAACTGTTAGACACCAATCCAAAAGATCCTATGCACCCCAAAGTTAATAGCAGCACAATTTACAATAGCCAAGAGTTGGAAGCAACCTAGGTGCCAATCAATAAATGAATGGATCAAAACACTATGGTACATATACACATGGAATTCTATGCAGCAGAAAGTAAGCAGGAGTTCCTACCCATTGCAACAGCATGATTGGAACTGGAAAGCATTATGCTGAGTGAAATAAGACAGGCATTGAAAGACAATTACTATATGATCTCACCTTTAACATGAAGCTAAACAACAAAACAAACAAGCGAAAAAAATATAACCAAAGACATTCAAATAGAGAATAGGCAGACAGTGACCAAAATGGGGAGGGGAGAGAATTTCAAAGGAAAAGGGAAAGGATTGACAAGAACTAGTAGCAATGATTCCAGGAAATTAAATAGAGGTATTAAAATTGGGAGGAAGTGGGAAACACTTGTGGGGGGAGGCTTATATAGGAGTTAAAGACAGAAACCTGTACTTCAATAATAGTTGAATAAAAAATGAAAGAAAACATACAATAATAAATGATCATCCTGTTTCCTGAAAGCGCCTTAATTTTTCTAAAAATACAGAAAATTTTCAATGTATACTTAAACACAGGAGTTCTCAAAGCCTTCATTTTCTACAAAAGATAACGTCCAAGTTCTCCCTTGCAATATTCAATCTGAAAATCTACCATAGAAAATACACAAAAGTGGTTATATAAAGAATATCCTGTGGCTGGGGCAGGAAATGTGAAGGAAGTCAGACTCACCCAGGGAGGCCAGGTTGCTGTAATTCTCTAGCATCACATCTGTGTACAATTTCTGCTGAGCGGGGTTCAGAGATTCCCATTCCTCCCAAGAGAAATCCACTGATACATCCTTAAAGGTCAAACATTCCTGAAAATAAAAAAGGCAAATTTATCAAGAACACAAAGCACAGGTCTCACTGTCATCTAACATGAAAAGTATTAGAAGTGGTTTTGACCTAGGAGATATCCTTCATCATTCAGTAAGGCCACTTGGACTCTCTAATGCTCTCTAATGTATTTGTAACACTGACAACTGAGGATAATACCTGTCTAGAAATCATCTGCAAAGACATTACTTCTCTCCAGTATGAATTTTCTGATGTTGACTAAGTGTTGACTGCTGCCTGAAGGCTTTGCCACATTGAGGACATTCATAAGGCTTCTCTCCAGTATGAATTTTCTGATGGTCAGTAAAGGTTGACTGCCACCTGAAGGCTTTTCCGCATTGTGTACATTCATAAGGTTTCTCTCCAGTATGAAGTCTTTGATGTTGAGAAACTGTGGACCTGTACCTAAAGGCTTTGCCACATTCAGCACATTCATAAGGCTTCTCTCCAGTGTGAATTTTCTGATGTTGAGAAAGTGTTGAATGGCAGCTAAAGGCTTTGCCACACTGAGTACATTCATAAGGCTTCTCTCCAGTATGAATTCTCTGATGTTTAATAAGTGTTGACTGCTGCCTAAAGGCTTTGCCACATTGATTACATTCATAAGGTTTCTCTCCAGTATGAATTTTCTTATGTCGAGAAAGTGTTGAATGGCAGCTAAAGGCTTTGCCACATTGAGTACATTCATAACGCTTCTCTCCAGTATGAATTTTCTGATGTTCAGTAAGTATTGAATGCCGCCTAAAGTCTTTGCCACATTGAGTACATTCAAAAATCTTCTCTCCACTATGAATATTCAAATGTCCAGTGAGGTGTGAGAGCTGGCTAAATGCTTTGCCACATTGTGTACATTCATAAGGTTTTCCTCCAGTATGAATTCTTTGATGTTGAGTAAGTGTTGACTGGGACCTATAGGCTTTGCCTCATTGAGGACATTCATAAGAATTCTCTCCAGTATGAATTTCCTGATGTTTAGTAAGGGTTGAGGAATATTTAAATGCTTTGCCACATTGAGTACATTTATAGAACTTCCTTCCAGCATGAATTTTCCAATGTTCTATAAGTTTTGAGGACAACCTAAAGGCTTTGCCACATTTTCTGCATTCATAAGACTTCTCTCCAGTATGAATTTTCTGATCTTGTTTGAGGCTTGAGGACCTCATAAATGCTTTCCCACATTCTCTATGCATAGGAGAGTTTTCACCAGTATACATTTTCTGATGCTGAGAAACACTAAAAGACTCTCTAAAGGCATTACCAGATTCACTACATTTGAAATTATTATCTCCCGTATTAATTTTCGGGTTACCATTAACATTTGAGGAGTGGCTGAAAGCTTTAGCATATTTTTCACATTTATCAGGCTTGTGTCCAGTGTGCATTCTGTGATGATGAGTAAGAGTTGAGGTAATGCAAAATGCATTGCCACATTCTTTACAAATTTCAGGCTTCTGTCCAGGATAAATTATTTCATGTAGAGTTCCACCTAAAAATGAGTGACTTATTTTACCACAGTCTTCACATTTATGTTTTATACTCCAATCTCTTTTGTTAAGTATATTTAGATTTGATATTTGATTGAAGAATTTTTTGTATGGCAAATATTTATCATCTTTCTCCCTGACTGCAATATTTGTTTCTTCAGTGCTATTTGAAGATTGCTTTAAGCATTGAATATTTTTACTTTTCATATTTGTCTTCTCCACAATAGGAAAAACCTGATGAGTATTGTGATTTGACATTTGGTCAAAGTTTTTTCTACCTTCATAATGGTTGTCTAGAAGCTGACTCTTCACCTGGAAGTTAGGATTTGACTCATGGGTAAAATTCTTCCAATGTTCACTGCATTGACTACTTCTGTCCTCATCACACATACTCTGGTAAACATTGAACACAGAAGGGCCTTTAGTGACATAGAAAATTTCCTTAAACATGTACACTTATTCCTAAATAAGCATTCTGTGATCCCTATTAAACCACATTGGTTGTATTAAAAACTATACCCAAGTTCAAGAAAATAGGATACAGTGGAAAAAAAGAAAACAGTATTTCTAAAAACTGTAATATTTCTTAAAGAAAGAAAATGTCAAATTTCTCACATTTAAGCTTTCTACATGCATTTTAAATGACTACATTGTACACATTATTGACTGAAAAGTATTTCCCAATGCACATTTTAAACAATTAAATGATTACCCACACCACAAATTTTGAGATTTCTTAGAATTTCCAGAAAGTCTTTAGAACAGAGGTGTCAAAGTCATTTTCAGCATGGGCCACATCAATCTCACAGTTGCCTTCAGTGGGCTGCATGTACTTTTAGGACCTTGTAAATGTTTACTCCTTATCTAAGGGCAAGGAGTTTGTTGCTTCCTTCAGGTAGCAACAAGGTTCTGATTTAGAGAAAAGAAGGTCAAGGGCCAGATTCAGCCTGGAGTTCTTGTGTTTGCCACCTGTGTTTTAAAAGAATATGTACCCTTAGAATATTAGTTTTAGTCTTTCTATTTGGAAATACATTGGTCTGTAAAGGTAACTGATTTAAAGTGGAAGTTTCCCCAAATTTGTAATATTTTTTACATCTTTAGATAACAGTGATTTTTCATGTATAATTTTTAGGTAGTTTCCCCCATTCAAACATCTTTACTTTCTTGTCATAAACTTCCTTATCAGTCTCAAGGGCACACCTGTCATAACTCACCACTGTTTCTTCAAAAAATAGATCTTCTATTCCTGACCTTTTGAAGAAGCACTGGTTGTCAGTAGATAACACAGCTGATAGAAACAAAAGAAAGATTCACAGGTTTGACACATGGGTGAATGTACATTGACCTTACTAGGAATTTTTAAACAAATCACATCACTGAGTACTTCACAAACATAAATATTTGCAGGAGGATGAATTGTGGTACAATGAGAAAAAGTCACACAAAATGGGAATAATGGTTGCTTACACTCTTAAACCACTGTGCTCATCTCTCTTATCACACAATGGTAATAGAATAAATAAGCTCCTCATTCCTATTTTTTCTAGAGAGATAGAGGGACCACTGTATTCAATGATCTCACTGTTTCCTGCATCTTCAAAATACCTGTTTCTGCTTTTCAGGAGATATAGTGCCCAGGCCATAACAGCACAGAATGAACATAGTACAGTGCACACTAAACAGAAAGGGTAATAGTTGAAATAACACAGACCAGTGGACTGAAGACCAATATCAAGCATAAAAAGATGTCATGGGCTTTGAAAAGGAAGCAGACATAATAGAAAACTTGTAACCAAGAAACATTCAAATACAAACACACCTTCCTGTGCTTAGAGAAATTAGAGTTTACACTAAGGGTGAACGTTATTTGTTTTTCCCTTATCCTGGACAAAGCAAGTTCATAACTCCTAATTGTTTACAGTTCTGAACCTCAACAAATATATCAAGACAGGAAACAGAAAACCAGGGTCAAATCAGAAAACTGAAGTGCATCTACAAAAACTACTCCTGGCTGGTGTGGCTCAGTGAATGGAGCACTGGTCTGCAAACCAAAGGGTTGCTCATTCTATTCCTAGTCAGGGCACATGCCTGGGTTATCATCCAAGTCAGGTCCCTTGTAGGGGTCACGCAGGAGGCAACTACACAGTGATGTTCCACTTCCTCCCTTACCCTCTGCCTAAAATAAATAAAAATATTTTTAAATGTGCATCCATAATAACTGATACTACATATTGAAATATTTTAATTACTGGATAAAGAACTGAACATACCCACTTGAAAATAGAAACACAGGAAAATATGACTTCCCTTTAATAACAGCAAATCAGTGAATGACCAAAATAAAAATGAAAAAAAAGAAAACATAAAAATAAGACAAGAACATAATGGAAAGGTGAAAAATACATTGCAATACAAAAATACAATACTAAAAAATACATTAAAATAAAGAAACATCAAATGGTTGCCTGTTTTTGTCCAAAACCTTGTTCAAGACCCACAATCCAGGCATGTTCCTTTTCTCAAAAGTAAGCTGGTTACCTTGGATTTGAGGGATGATGCTCAACAAACTGAGCCAGTCTAATAGGTCTTAATTTACTAAAAGAAGTGATTATATGACACTCTGCATTTTTTATTATAACACTCAAAGGAAATGTAAAGAAGAAAAAATAATTCAATGGCACTGAACCAAATATAAAAACTGCTGCCCATTAAAGTAAACAACCAGCAAGTTAAAATGACAGGTCATAGAACGAAGAAAATTTCTGTAAATTTTCTTTCTGTAAATTTTGTATCTGATAAGTAGATAATATCCAGGTTATATGAATGACCGGTACAAAACGTCATGATACAGGGGGAGGCTTCCAAGATGGCAATGGAGTAGGAAGGAGCAGATTACATTTCCTCATACACATGGAAGAATATCCTGGTGGATCTAAGGAGGAACAGCACAAACAGCCAACAGTTCCCCAGCATATTTGAAAATAATAGACCAGAAATCATGACACAGAAAACCCATTCAGTAAGGAGATGGCTGCAGTACAGTAGAGTCTCAGGGACCAGAGTAAAGAATGGAGCAGCAGTGGCCTCAGCCAGCACAGTGTCCAGAGCCCTATGCCCAGCACACAGTGCCCAGTGCACCTCCTCCAGCACCCAGTGCTCAGCACACAGCTCCCAGGGCTTCTACCACAGACTCTTTGGGAGCCCCAGGCCTGCCGAAGGGTCCTTGGGAGAGAGCTGGGTTATCATCTTTCTCCCTCGCAGGCCAAGCAATGTTGGGCACAGGGAGAGACTTGTTTGCTAGAGTTTGTAGAGAGGGTACTAAGGACAAAGGGCCATGAACAACTGCAGACTCTGTGGTCGCCAGCTCCAGAGTATTGAGAGGCGCATTGTGGGGCTATGATGCCAATAGTCACTGTTCAGGCTGGGGGAATAAGCTGTGCTGAGAGGCAGGCTTTCTAAAGGAGATTTTGGAAAGTCAACTGAAGGATTCTTCTGCAACAGCCACTTGGCCTGCTCCCCACCCAGCCTGGCAGTGAACCCCAGGTTGGGCAGAGGGCCTGAAGTTCCCCCACAGAACTGGGATGGGTCTGCACCAGAACCTATGGGACCCAGGCAGCCTGGCCGGTGAGCCTTGCAACCCAGCCCACAGTGATAACCCCTGGGAAAGAGTGTAATGAGGAAGACCTAGATCCTCTTCATGGGATCCTGGGGAGAAGCACCAGGTTGGCTGTTGGGAGAGGGCACACAAAATGACCACATCAATTGCCCATCAGGCTGCTGCCAGAAAAACCAGTTTGGCCAGTTTGAAATTAACAAGAGATATTTTTTGTTTGTTTTTTTACTTAATTTTTTATCTCTTAAATTTTATTACTGTTTTATCTTTCAATACTTTTTTCTACTCTTTTCTTCTTTTCTGTTTTATTCCTTCTTCCTTTCTTTCCAAACTTATTACTTTTTCCTCCCTTCTCCTGCCTTTTTTCCCCTTTTACCTACAAGTGACACAAACAACTTAGAAGTGCAAAAAGACCAGAGTTGGACCCAAAGAGGAGGCATCCCAAAAGTAGAGACAGAGAGACAAATTTTACTTTGCTATAGCAGAGAATCCACAAGTTGCTGCATGTTTGTATTATTATTATTTTTCTTTATTCTCACTTCTTTTATATTTTAATACTATCTTTGTCTTCCTCCTCTTTCTGTGTAGGCTTCTTTTCCTAGGCTGGTTATATTGTATCATTTGACAGGTATTTCCTGTTCTCTCCTTCACAGTGTATTGCTAATTTTCTATACTCCAAGCCACTTGTTTTCCTTTAGCACTCTACCCAAACTTCTATACCCCCTATTCATGTTATCCAGATCACATAGAGTCTGTCATATGATAGTTGCTCTAATATTATTGTAAATAATGGCTGTTCTATACAACTGTAAATACTTCACAACACATCTCCCGGATCTTAGTCCACTTCACAATTTTCTGAATTCTATTACTGAAGTGATTAACTCTATTTGCTCACACACTACACCTATTTACTTACTCTCACCTTACCTCAGAACCTGACCACCCACAACCTTACCACTTTCTAGATTCAACTCACTAGCATTCCCTCTCCAACAAGAGACTTATCTTTTGTCTATTAAAAGTGGCAAGTTGGGCCCTGGCTCATATAACTCAGTGGATTGAGCATGGGCCTGCAAATCACACAATCGAGGTTCAATTCCCAGTCAAGGCATATGCATGCATTGCAGGCCAGTCCCTGGCAGGTTACTCATGAGAGGCAACCACACAATGATGTTTTTCTCCTTCCCTTTACCTCTAAAAATAAATAAATAATAAAAATCTTTTAAAAAATAAAATAAAAGTGGCAAGTTGGGTTAAAGATTATGGTTAATATATATAGCCT